GATGATGTCCACTATAGTGTACCATCGTATACGAATTTTACGAGGGTATTACATTTTAGTATATATTCGTTGCGGTCACGTTTAGTAACATAATACGTATTGTAAACTAATACGTAGTAATAATAATAATATTCACGACTTCTACGTACTGTTTATGTGTCGGTAATATTTATTTTACACCGCAGAAAATGATTAGTTTTTTTTTTTTTTTTTGGCGTTCCCGTCGGCCTTTTATTCGACTCGCACTCGTTCATCACTGCTCTTCGCGCTCCGGTTCAGAAACGTTTTTCGGGTCGTCTACCTCTGCCAAAGCACGCGGCAACTGCAGATGTACACAATAATAATAATAATAAACGTACGTACAACTGCAGGTAATATACTATTGTTCCACGACACGAGCTGCGTGCGTATAATATTATAATTATTCCCCTTTCCGTGTGCGCGTGTGAGCTTTAGTGTTTGTGTGCGTTTGTATTTCTCGTATTTTTACGTTTTCAGCCTGGTGCTGTGTAATCGCGGAGTGATCTCGGTACGTGTATACGCTGCATTCTTCTGCGGCTCGTAGGGAGACTCGGACCAGATATTCTGCCGCGTCGGTGGCGGCAGTCGGATCGGCCGTAGGGTAACGACAGCATAAAGAAAATGAGAGAGAGAGAGAGAGAGGGACAGAGATGAACGATAATTTAGCGGAACACGTTCGTTTCTTAAGACTGGTTTCCTCTGTTCCGCCCTTTCCTGTACTGTATTTATTTGCAATGGTTCTCAAACCCGTGGAAAGAACGCGGCCGAAATAAACGACTACTGCTCTAGAATAACTAACCATATGCCCGATCGCCACGTGCCATTTGTCACATCCCGTGACAATCCGCCATCCTCGTCCCCTCCTCCGACGAACGCGAGAACCTCTATATTTTAACATGTTTACCCGACGCGAGCTGTTATATCTTTTGGATAAAAGCGAATAGAAAAGTTTACCTAACGACGATTTTCTATAAATATGCTCGTAATTGGGTTCGTTCACGTATAAATAACGACGGGGGTGAGCCGTGTTGAGGAAATAACGTCGCGCGTTCGAGTTGATGACTGATGGAACGGTTAGTGTAATACGGATCACTTCTTATGTAATTTTGTCGTATGCTGCGGTTTCGTTCGGTTTTTGGTAAAAATTCAGCAGAGCAAAAGATATAACTTTATTATTTATAACACTTAAAATACGACTAATGCGATAACATAATATAATACGATCCTAGTATTAAAATTTCGCAAATATCTTGTCCAAACATTGCCGACCGAGGGATAAGTTTTTTTTAGCAACCACTGATCGTATGAAAAGTAGGTAGAAAACAAACGTGTTCTGCATATTAATTTGCGAACGCAAATGGTATTCATAATTTAGCATATATTTAATTTATCTATAAACAACTGATGCTTGAGGCTGATTATTAAAATTGGAGCTCACATTGTAACCGTTATCGTTTCGCCCCCGTACTATTTTACTGTAAGCCCTAATATTTATGGAGAAATAATAAAGATTGTTTTTCTTGTACCACTCAGGCTTTGAGCTTGAGCTTAAATTAGATTATGATTATATTGAACATCGCAATCAGTATGTTTTTGTCAACTCATAACTATTAAAATATTTATGAACTAATACGTTTTCATATCAAATTTGTTTTGTGTGAAATATTTTATCTTGACACTCATATTTTATTTTATTTTATTAGTAATTTTTATTTATAACATGGGACATTTTGCGGTTCATCAAAATGACTTGTATAATAATGATTAAATGTTTCCGCCTTATCATGGTTTATAGAATAATACTTTTTACTTGTATACAGCAGAGATGATAAGCAAAGGTCATGTTTGAAAAAACAGTGTTTGAATAGTCGCCTGCTGTTTATTTTGCAGGAAAAAAAATCGAATTTATTGATAATTCATTAAAAAAATTGTAGCATAATAATATTTAACAAGTACATTATAATATGAGTGTATACTTGGGTATATATATGTCTTTAACGAAGGTAATATGTTATACGTACCGTATTGCTTTTGCACGTGATAAAACCTGTTGAAAAGATCAAACTGACAAATAACCTATTTTTTCTTGCACATCGCTAAATATTTCGACTGGTGGGTGTATGCATACATTTACCTATAACTAAATGCAGTTTTCATCTGGTTTCATCGACAACCGCCCTCTTAAGATTCAACAGATGTGCTCGCGTGTGTGATGTAAACCAGGTCGGACGGGCGTATAAATCAGCGAAGTATGTGATCTGTACCAGGAACTAGTACATCGTTGTCGCCGTTCAATATTTAGGACTCAGGAACACGGTATATACTCGATACGTGACGTACGGTTTATTATTGTGGTTATTTTTGCAAGTGCACTCTACATGCGCGGCCACGGACGTGAGCGTGTTGCAGATTAATCGTTACCACACAATATACGTTATAATATGCTATTTATGATTCCAAAACTTTATTTCACCGTACGTTTGAAAGTTCCGAAGTATAAATATTATTTTATAATTATATATCATCTATTTGACGAAAAGAAATATTTTTTTTTTTTTTAATAAATTTATATAATAAATACTTATAGTAAAAGTTTATTATTCCATAAAAATATTTGTTGTTTAGAGGTTCGACTATATTTGTAATCGGGAGAGATGACCGAGACGACGGGTTCGACCTCCGCCCGTGTAAATATATTGAAAAGTTTTCCGAATATCCGAAAATGTTTCAAGGGGAGTGGGTTTAAGAATAAATATCCTGTAGATACAAATAGGAAAAAAATCAAAACAAATAAATATTAGGTACAATCGATTTTAAACCGTTTAATAATATATTATCTGTAATTTTCAAAGCGGTGAGGTCCATATCACCATGCTCGTATATACGCGTTCAATGGTTGCAGGGGACACATTTTGAGCAGCAATATTACAATTTAATAAAAATATTAAATTTTTTTTAAAAAATGTTATTGTATTATATCATCTCCACCGACCGTCTTCGCGTTGGAACTCGGACACACACATTCCCTGCCGCGGACTGTGACGAATTCAATTAAAACACACGTATATATATATATACGCTCCACGCGCTGCAGTGTGTCCTTAACCTTGCCTATTGTTGAACGCGGCCACGACCTCCTAGTGAAAGTATATTATATACAATATAATTGTGTCGGACTGTGTTATAAGGACTGAAAAAAAAAATAATAATAATAAAAAAAATAAAATAAAGAATATACGTTATACGCGCACCGCAGTCCCGGTAGGCACTCCCGTGCATTATACGCCGTATACTATGCGTGCATAATGTTCGTATTGTAACGTCGTCCGCAGTGAAGGGCGCGGTTCGAGCGGGCGGAGTGTAAAATGAAATAAAATTAAAACGTATTGGCCCATCCCGATCCCGATAGGACACCGAACACGGTTCATTAACCGCATACTCGTACTGTACGCGGGGGTTACGCGTCGAGATTCTCGGGGTAAAAAATCATAAAAAAAAAAAAAAAACCCAGTAAATACGTGTACAAATTGTTACCACGCAAGCGAGCACGGACGACATGGTGACGGTGCGTTTATTTTCGTCGTACCGGTCATTTGACGAGTGGACCGGAACGCCTCTCATCCGTTTCGGAATTCGTAAAAATTCCCTTTAATCGTCTACCGCACGATGTTGTTAGGGTGAGAGGGAAGGACATCGCGTGTACACCGGTGTAGTTTATAATGTCAAGACGTGAATTCATTTTTCCATGTCGTTGTAGTATCATAATGTCGTTAAATCGTTTCAGTAGCGATTAGCAGCAGTACGATATTATTTAAATTCATGAAACGAAACGGTAGACAGTTAAACTACGTATAAGGTAGCCTTTTCGAAATTTATGCATTTTTAGCGTCGTCGATGTGTTTGTGGGTGTGTGCGTCTTCTCAATGAAATCCGTGAAATTATCTTTCTAACTACGTTCATATGCTTTACATGTATACGCATATGATTATAGGAAGGTAGAATGCTTACTCGAAAATAATTTCTGGGAGGGCGTAGACGACTGATTCCATTAGCAGTGTATGGTTACAAACTCATAACAAAACCACTGCGCTTGCGGTGGCGGCGGCGGGTACCTTTGAAAAATGATGAGAGTGCCCATATGGCTACATAATACAGAACTGCAGGAATAACTATAAAACACCGTCTTGTGTCCGGCTGATTATTTTTCATTTCGTTTACGAAATCGAACACGGGCAAAAGAATTGTACTGCGGTGATTTCGATTGTCATAAATACGTTCATTTAAACTGTGTACACCCCTCAGCGGCAATCGTTACTCGAATGCAGGTACTGTTGGTTCGGTGTTGCGTTCATATTTCACCGTTGTAGATCCGCAGCTAGCGCACAAAAAGTATACTATTATAACACCCGAAATGAATACTAATTACGTTCCTGTAGTAATTATTTAGAAAGTTTTTTACCCAATGCTTATTAATCGATCGACAATCAGATCTGATTATGAATGTCATTTGCGTGTTGTCATATCCATGTATTATGTTGTATACTCGTGAACTTAATTTTGTAACGACTGTTGGATGCGTGTCTAAAATGAATAGGTAGTGTCTATTGTTTTGACGTTACGACACATGGTACGGCAATAGAAACCTTACCTAAAACGCTTTATATGATGTCTGGTACTAAACGGTTGTAATAGGTCGTTGGTATATACATATAGATACGTATTATATACGTATAAAAATGTTTTACAACACTTTATAAAAACAATCGTGGAACATCCATGGTATTTCGTTTGGTAATTTTTTTTTTGATTTTTTTTTTACACAACGCCTATTGCGCTTCTTTGAGTTTTAAAATCGAATTAAAGCGTGGAGTTAACGATCCGCGACCGAATATACTACTACAGGAAACTCTTTGTAATTATTGTGCATGGAAATCCGTAACATACTGTTGTGTAATAAAATCGTAAATTTCTGTTTAAAGGTTTTGCCCAAAATAAACTTTACACAACCGCCGTGCGAAAGCTTCAGAGAATACGCTTGCGGAGGATGGCTACAAACCAACTCGTTGCCCGGGTACATGAGCACTTGGAGTTTGAAAAATCGGATTCAACAAGAACGTAAGTGTGCGGCGCATCGAGTGCATCTGTTTAAATTATTTTACTGTAAAATAAACATTTGTTAAACCGTTTGTTTTGAATTTGTATAGAAAAAACAATGATCAGGAACATGGTTGTTACTCTGCGGAACGTTGCCAGTTCGAACTCGCTGAACTGGAAGATGAAACATTTCTACGAATCGTGCATGAATCTAGACAATATTGAGATGGACGAAGGAAAACCTTTAAAGAAGATTATTAGTACCAAACTTGGTATGTTTCGTTCCTTACCTCTCTCGCGGGTGGTCTATTTCAAATATTAATTTGTTTCTCCTTATTTGTATTACAGGCGGCTGGTCCGTGTTAAAAGATTTTGACTTTAATCAATGGGACAAGGATTTTACCATGGTACAATTGCACTCCAAATACAGCGTAAACCTGTTCTTTAAGATAAACGTGGTACCGGACGATAGAGCTGCGGGCAAATATATAATTCAGGTATTTTGGGATTATATCATACGTAATTTTACTGTTTGGTCGTTGTTAAAATCTGTATTACAAAACGATTTCAGATATCTCCATCCGGACTGGGTTTGCCCGATCGAAGGTATTACGTTAGAAGTCCGCAAGATAAGGTAAGTCCACGCGCAAAGAACAACGAAAATGTTCGCTAGTCTTTTACGGTATTGTAAACTCGTCATTATATTTTTGTTTATGCAGATAGTGATCGCGTACAAACAGTACATGGTAGACGTATCGCAACTATTGGGCGCCACCAGTAGTGACGCGTCGTCGTTCAGCGAAGAAATATTCAACTACGAGAAGCGCATCGCGGAAATCACACCGCCCGGCAAACAAGAGGATCTATTGGCTTCTCACCAACGGTTTACCGTGGCAAGAATTAAGGATTTTGCCTCACTGGTATGTTTTTTATCATAGTAATGCACAGATCACTACTGAAATGGTTACGCTGTTCCACAGCACAATTTAGGTGGTTTGGTATTTACGGACAAAATTATATCGATTTCGTGTCTCTCGTGTTATAGGTTCCACTTTTGCACATCTTACAATCGAAATTCCCAGAAAGTAATATCAATGACGATACGAACATCTCGGTTGTGTCGCCCACTTATTTTAGCAACCTGTCCAATCTGATATCGTCATCGGATCGCAAGTAAGTTCTTAGTTGTTATAATATAAGGGGTTAGCGTGACGCCAAGTACTCTCTTTTTACTAATAAAACCGTGTTTTTGTTTTATTGTTATCTAGTGGGTTAAATAATTATTTCATGTGGAAAATGGCCGATGCTTTTGTTCCATACTTGTCGGTCAAGTTTAGGGAAGTTGTCAAGATCTATACAGCCGAACTTATAGGCGAAAAAGATTCGCCACCTAGGTGGGAGACTTGTGTTTCTTTGCTGCAGAAGTTCATGGGCTTCGGAGTGTCTGCTTCGATCGAACCACAAATCGAAAACAAGGATAATGTAGTTGCCGTAGTCAACGAAATTTTCTACAATATTAAAGAGACGATCAGATCTTACATAGACAGCAATGAACATTTGGAATCTGAGTTGCGAAGCCATGTATTGGGCAAGGTAAGAACATCAAAAACTTTAAAAATATTTCTCGGCTATACGTACTCGAGTTAATCGTTCGCCCGTTTTAGTTGAACAACCTCACAGTACAAGTCGGAATACCCAGCGAAATGCTCAAAGAGAATTTTGTCAACCAATTCTACAGTCCACTGCAGATCCAAAAGCTCGACTTGTTCTCGAACATAAACAGCGCGATATCGTTCCTGCAAGATTATTCTCAGGTCAAATTAAAGGCGACGAACGAAGAACACTACGGGTAAGTCGCGGGAATACCGTTATTTGCATAACACAACAATACACTACGATTCAGAACTGTTTTGTCTATAATTCACTGTCGGATGTACTATCCGTAGGTGGTTGGACGATTTGGTATCCGAAAATCCAAAAGTGACCTACAACGTGGCCAACAACAAAGTCATCGTGCCCATGGCGTTGCTCGCTCGGCCATACTTCGAGGTCGGCTATCCCGAGTAAGTCTTGTGTATGGTAAACAGTATACACGTTATCCCCTCCCCCTCGGACATCCAAAAACTCGTGCCCGGATTAATCGTTGTGACCTTTCGTAGGGCTATATTGTACGGCGGTCTAGGCGTGGAGCTCAGCTCGGCCATTTTGTCCAGCGTGTACCCGCCCGGTGTCGCGTACGGCATTGACGGTGTTCTTTTGCCAGCCCATTCCACGGCGGTTAACTTGAGCGCCGCCGCCACGGCCGAAGCCCGTAAGTGCCACGGTCAGATGTTCTACGTACTGAGGGACCAAAAATTCGAAATCAGCAACAACACGGCGCTGACCGCCATGTTGTCTGTATCCAGCGTACGGTTCGCACTGGAGGTACGTTTATTATATGTTGTCCCTGACCGATAACCACTTTGCATAACCTAAAGTAACCTATAACGCGATCGGGTTCTGTACGAGCTGTGAAGTGGCATGATTCGGTGACCACCGTTGACCAACCGAATCGACCTACTGGTACGGCATAAAGGTAACTTCCGCGTTGCCATTATACGTGAACTGCGATTTCTGAATTTCTGATAAATAAAATCCACAAATACACCGTAGTTAAATGATAAGATAACGAATCCAAAAGATAAAAATATGCAGTTCTAGGATTCTTGACAAATTATCAAATCTTTATCTCGTTTTCTCAACATACAACGTGATATCGGAAAAAATTACGATTTAAAGTAAAATGTGCATTATGTGTGAGTAATAACAGTTGTGTACAACAGTTGATAGATAAATTGCAGTGAAATTTCCTAAATTTTTCTGAAATGCGCTCAACAGATATCGCTTTTTAATTAATTTTGTTTTGATATTCAAAATTTTTCATTTCTCACTTTATCTTAATTTTCTTCGGCAACTCAGATTTCATCACTTAATTTTATGATTTTTCCGACTTACGTTATTTCCGCCCTTTTAATTGTTAAGATTGTAAAAAAATATAAAAATGTAAGTATAAATATGTCGTTCATCCGAACTACAAAACAAGATGGTTTACAGGTACATTGCGAGAGGGTCAAAACCGCCCAGGGATTACAATATAACATTCAATTATAAATTGGATTTACCTTTGTTGATTTGCATTGATATTTATTATTTGATATTATTATCTGTCATGACTGTACATATATTTTCACGGGATTCAATATCATTGTTATTTATGTTTGTGTAGAGTTTGTCAAAGAAAATACAATCAGCACCTCATTACCGTCAACCGGCCATGGAATCCTATGAATACGATACATTGTTTTTCATAACATACGCTCAAGTAAATAATTTTTTTATCGTTATTGCGATTATTGTGTATTAAGTGTTGATAATGACCTCGCAGACAAAAAATAAAACATTTTGTTAATTATTAATCGACGTTCTGAAAATGAACGTTGAACGTTCAGTTAAAAATTGATTTTTGAACGTTGATTTTTCACATTTAATATTATAAAAACCACGAAAATATTTTTAAATTTTTTATTGTTCTTTAATGACATTTTCAACGCACCTTAAACTTTGTCATTGATGACGAAAACACGTTAAAACAAAAATATAGTTAATAAAATGTTTTCTGTGGTGTTACAGTCTTTGTGCGCAATCAAATCACGTCAAGTGCAAGAGTTAGACACCATGTTCGATATGATGTCCGACGAATCTGTTTTGTAAGTATTAATTGTACATAGTTTACCTAAGTTTGCGTACGGTCAACATTTAATATTGTTGAATCATTCGTTCTTGATGAACGTTTCACGGCGTTTAAGTTAGGCAATGCGTATAGCGTACGCGTGTACGTTTCAAATATCTTTTAAGGCGTTTACTTTTGCGTGCCTGTGTTATTTTCGTTTTGTTTGGTTATTGGCTGTTGTTTTGAGTGCCGAATTTTTGTTCACAGATTAAGAACAATCGCCGATCACTCGGAAGCGTTCAACAACGCGTTCAAATGCACTGACAAATCAACGAGAACTTGCAAGTACATTTACTAATGGACTCGGTGTTAGTATACTGCATGATTATTGAGCGTCCGGAAATCCTAACTTGACCCAAACGCGCAAGACGACGAGTCTGGAACATTTCATAAATATTTATTTACGATTTTTTTTATTCGTTTATTATTTTTTATTATTATCGTCATCATCATTTATTATTATTATTATTATTTTATTTTAATTATTATTATTGTTTATGAGATAATGTTTGCGCGAAACAAGACCATGACATAATTTTTTTTTCAGACTGAGTTTAACGCGCGTGCCCAATCATTTTTACTGCATATAGTATTATTATGTACTCCAAACACCACAAACGCATACATACTCTACATACACATACATGCACGTATTGATTTCATGTACTTTGATGATACTAAAAGAGTTTTGATTACAACTTTAGTCATGACTTTCAAACAATTATTCACTTTGCTTATACTCATATGTGAATGTGTGCGGTTAAGACTGTAAATGTGGTTAGTGACGGTTTTTTTTTCTATACTGAATATTATATTTAACCACTAAATTAAAGTGTCAATTATGTACTACGGTACAATCATATTAGTTAATTTCACCAACTCGCACTTGGTATGATAAGACCACATAGTCTGTTGGGGATTTTGCATTTTTTTTTTCTCTTCTCGTATTATATACTGTACATATATTATATTGTATACATCAATTTAAGTCTTATTTGTTGTTGATATTGTATACCTTTTAAATGTAAATATGAGTTTTTACCCTCAACATTTTGAAATTAATGTTTAATTTAAATGTATTGTATTAGACTAATGATTTTATTCTAAAAAAAAAAAAAAAAAATTTAAAATAATAACCAAAATACTATAGTTTTAAGAATTTTCCATTAAATTAAGATATTTTGATAAACTGTGTACTGTTTTCTGTATTATTTTAACCAATTCCAACTAAATCCACATAATCATATTAATATTCCTTTCTACTTTATTATTTTAATACTTAAGCATTCTTTCATCTTTTATATAAGTCGAGCTATAGTTAATAATAGATACGTCTGTGTTTTATGGTAGTATTGCTACTAAGACTGCCTACATCAATATTTTAATAATTTATTATTTATGTTTTATAGTTGTAATTCTTCATTGAAACTATTGACAATTTAAAAATGTTGACAAGCATAAGATTTAAAAATAGTAAAATTGAATATACAATTTTGAAAAACTGGCAATGAGCTAATGAACGGGTTTTAAAAGTCTAATTACCTTTGTGCAGAGTCTGTGGCGTAATTGTGGGGAAGCAAGTGCTCCACTGACAATTTTTTGAGAGATAAAGGTATAATTCCCCCCCCCCCCTCAGATAATCCAATAGTACAAACAGCACCTTTTATTAATGAACCCTTATGGGTATTATTTAACAATATTGGTACCTAATACCTGCTACCTACAATTTATGTTAATCTAAACCACAAAATGAGTTAAAAGACTTATGTAAAATCAAACAATTAGATATACTGTATAAAATACATACAATAAAAATATGTTTTAAATGGTGAGGGGGAAGGGTGTCTGGGTTTTGGTAATAATAAATATATTATATTGCCCCCCTAGATTTTTTCCCAGTTACGCCACTGTGCAGAGGTACAGTGTAAATTCAGCACATCAATCCAAGATTTCTAAAAAAAAAATCATTAATTAACTAATAGAAACTATAATTAAATGCTCTGGTGAATTATTGTTTAAAGTTTATTTGTTAAAATATTTAAATAAGAGGAATGTGGTTTCCACGAAAGCCTATTATTTGATCTGTTTACAAAACATTAAATGAATCTTTCAAAAAGACCGTTTCCCCGCACATTTTCAAAACTTGTTTTATGTGATAGATGTGTTTATCTAATAATAATGCATATTTCCTGCGAGACCTAACCGCTATATCATAGTTGGTTTTTTATAAGGGAATTAAATAATACAAACCTTTTTCAATTTTTATCTTCATTTAATTTTAATTTCTAAAAACTGTTTTTTACGTTTCTCGAAAATTTTCATTTTATGAAGATATGGCCTTTTCGTAATGACCGATTCAATTAGTTATTTAAAAAAAAAAAAACTATATATTTTATTGGTATACTTTCGGAGGGTACACAATTATATTACGCGAGCATGGCGACCAACTTAATTTTTTTTAAAAGCGCGTATTGAACACTTTCGTCCTGCACCCTCTCATCCCATCCGCGGTCCACCGTTATTTCAATCTGTACGCGCCTCAGCTTGTAGTCTTTCGTTTTCGTACGCACGTCAGTGCAGGTCCACGTTGCGCGAGGGGTCTTTTGACAACCTTAACGGTTTTATCCATCAGACGCGTAGACCATAACGTCTTCGTTACGCGCGTTTCGTGTTGACGGTCTTGGCACGCGTCCTCGATCGCAATTATTACCAGAAAAAGCTGCAGCCCGGACCGTCGCACGCTTCGGCGAACCCCTCGCGGCGGCGTCGAGTGACGTACGGATACAGGATACAGGATGAATCATTATGAGTGCACGACGGATTTATGTCCCTCCGAGGAAACGACAATTAAAATCGGTCGCCAACGCAAGGGGATCACGTATTATTATTATTATTATGCGTACCGATTATGGGTGTCCGGAGATTGTCCCTTGTAACGCGCAGCGATCGAACAAAACGATATATTTTCCGGGGGATGTAACGAGCAGTAAAAACAAATAATTACGAACATTATCGGGTTGCACGCCGTCGGATGTTAGAAAACGTGGTTATAATATTGTTTATCTTTTTTATGACACTGTCGGGACGCGCGTTCGCGAAACGTAACACAACGAATCATCAAATTCGTATCATCAAGAATACGATTTTACGACCGTCGTCGGCGTTGATTTTCGATTATGTCTACGAGGAAAGAAATATATGTACGGCTGCGCGCGCGTACTGCACGGATTAAAACGATATTAATTGATTGTGGCACGTGACGGGGAATGGAAGAAAAATTGTAAAAAAAAAAAAATTAGGTGAAAACCGTAGGGGTTGCCGCGCGAGGATACGAAACTTCTGTCGTCAATCGATTATGTAAAACTGTATGTATTCGCGCGACACTCTACGTCGGATTCGCTGCGTAAGTCGAACTTGCGCACAAGTTAGCCGGTACAAGTGGTACCGATTCGTTTTACACTATTTTCACGTTACGTTCTGGTCTGTCGTGGTTTTCAGACCGTTTTTCCGTAAATCAACGCTGCCAGAAGTGATCAACGGTCGATACGCGAATACCTGTTCGTTTTTTCGCGTCCGTTTTGGCTTCACGATCACACGAACATTAAACGTAACGTAACTCGGACCACGTTAGGTGTGTACGGATAACGTTGATTGGCCGTGGTCAAACGGATCGGTTTTCTCATTACCCGCCCTATCAACGTTCCGATTATGACGTCTAAAAGTCCGGAAACATTAACCGAATAGTTTGGTTCGTGCGAGGAGAACGATGTTCTCATTTGGAAAGCAAAACACGATTACGCAGCAGGATTACACGAAGTAAATGTACGAGTTCGAAAAATGTGCGTCTAACAAGTGCACGTCGCACATATTCCTTGAAACGGACTTTGAAAAAAAAAATAAATAGTTTAAGCGTAAAAAAAAAAAAAAGGGATGAACATGTTTAAAAACTCAAACTGCATAATTTATGACGGAAGATCAAAAAAAAAAAAAAAGAATCCGTTCCGGGTTACGTGGTACCGAAACGTGTGATCGGACTGCGAGCGGTACAAGAGGTTGAATAACATTGTGATCCCTCGTCGCGATGCGCAATAAAATTCGCAGCAGGCACGTGGTGAGCACGCCACGTGAGTTCTTGTGCTGCTATTGTTGCAGTCGACGGGTCGTGGTGACCAGGGCCGGGTTATGGTCATAATATAAGTGGGTGAGGGGGATATTACTTTTGGAGAGGCTCTCTCGTCCAAAAAGGAAGGGTTACATTATTATTATAACAATAATCTTTACCTACTCATGTCTCTTAAAACAAATAAAAACGATTACAATCCATACGGTTCAAATGTACGTACATCCCAAATTTGTGCGGACCAAATAAGAATCGTTAAGATTTCTAAATTAAATTTATGTATACATTTTTAAATGTTATTGTTTCATGAACGTTCACAAGAGTCAATAGCTCAACAATAATTAACGACAGTGAACGTAGTTGAAAAAAATAAAAGTTATTTCTGTAATACATTGTAATATAAACTTATGAACACATATTTTGTAGTTTTGAAATGCATTTGTTTGTTGAATCTTAAACATCTGCATAGGTCGAAATGTTTGATTATGTCTGACTTTTTTCATGAATTTTCGCAAAAATCAAATAAACAGTCACCAACAAAACTTAATTTGCCAGAGACGTAATAAATTTCATAAAGACGCTTTAAGGTCTATATACTTTCTAAAATGTTCACTCATCACACACGATGAAAAATATTCTTAAATTATTTAATTTTAACCAAAAATGTTTATTTTAAAAAAAAAAAAATATAAAACTGTATTAACGAAATACAATTAGAATCCTTGTTCTGCAAAGAAAATATGTCAATGATTATTATTTGTTTACCTTTTAATGATAATTTATGAGTTTATAAGTGAAACGAGGAATGAATTTTTTTGTGAGTCTTTCAACACGATTTCAACCAGAAAGAGTGTTCCGATCATCACGATCACAGAATAAAAATGGAGGTTTTGGTGTTGGTACTCCGAGGAAGGTAAATTTACTAATTTTCTAACAGTTTTTTTTTAATATTTACGAAAAATTATACAAAAAGTTATTAAAAAAAACAACAATATTTACAGAATACAGATTTTTGAAAAAAATTAATTCTTGTTTTATCATAACCAGAATAATAATAATTGCAGAACATATTTTCCTGAATATTCTTATCGCTGGTATAATTTTCAAATGATAATAAATATGTGTTTGAAAATGTCAAGCTTTCGTAGTTTTTTCGTAAAATAAAGATAAAATAATTTTGGTCAATCCTGGAAAAATAAACTTAAAAATGTAATAACAAAGTTTCTCGTGCATTTTTTTACAAATAAATAAAAAAAAAATTGGCATAATTAAAAAAAAAATTATTTATGATGTTTGAACATTAAATGTTGATAAAACTCAATAAAAATCATTTGAATCGACTTCCTTTTTTTTTTTTTTAATTGAAAAAGCTAAAATAAATTTTATAGTTAAAAGTTGAAATTTGGATATAAGATTTTTATTTTATATTTTATGTATCTATTGGCATTTTTTGATTTTTATCAAATTTTAATCGAAATCAATTATTGTTGGCTAATACGGAGAGAACAAAATTGCATTATTAGTTGTTATGTATTGATATTAAAATAATATTTTGCATATTCGTAACTATTAGTGATTGAATCTGTTTGTCAATTGTTTATAGTCATAGAACAATATCAGTTGATTTATATCAAGTGTTAAATCATTTTCTAAACCTCCGCACTAATTGAGCATTCATATCAGATTCGACTGAAATAAATTACTACATTTATTCAGATTTTGATTACAGTGTTCTTAGTTTTTGTTTTGAAAAAGATAAGCTTTTGGTATTTTTTCAGAAATATAACTTAAGAACAGAATAATATTCTAAAGATGAACAGTGTACCAGTTGTGTCCAACCTTACGAGCACAGGAGTTGCAGGATACAATGGCACCAGCTATGCCACTGTTTTTCCGGCATTACCAGCTTTAAAGA